CGAGGTTGAGATTCTTTGTCAGAGCAAGCACATGGAGTGAGAAGGCTCCTGAGTGTGGGCCACTTATGGGGGTACTATTCAGCTGCAGGCTTTACAGATGGATCAGTATGGCATCATTTAATACTCCACACCTTTGCACTGCAGCACCCCCTCTTGTTTAACCTGGGAAGATGGCTGTAACAGCCTAGGAGTAGATGTTTTTCCGTTGTATTGTTAAAATTGTCATGATTTGGAACTGTTTTTACTGTAACTTGGAAGTCAGGTAAAGGCATCTTTTCCATTATACTGCATCGTTTATTGGGTCACATTATTGAAGTGAGCCTTATTAGGCAAAATAAGAGTCTATAGCACAAAATGGGGGTGAAGTTATAGTGACCTTCCAGCTTGGGGAAGGAGCAGTGGTGGTTGGGGCACAAAGGGCTCTGAGGTAGATTTGGTCCATAGGGTCGTAATGCATCTCTTCTGGCAGCTGGGCTACTGTAATTGGTCCTCAGATGCATGGCATGACCTGCCTGGAACCACAATATAGGAGAGTTTGGGCAATGTTCCTCTCCTCATGAAATAGATAAATGAAAGGGAGCCAGTTCCATGTTTGCAGCCTGGCTTGAAGAATATAATGCAACATATATTGGTGGTTCTCTCTCAATGTAAGGCCCCCTACACAGATCTTGGCCATGACTACCTCCTATCACTAGGGAATGCTGACATGATGGTGATACACAAAAAATGATAAGTCATAGAATGGATTGTTTCAAATGATCTTTTGAAATAAAATGATCATTTATACAGCCCAAGAAAGGACACTGCTCTGACAGCCCATGGAATTCGGTGTATGGAATGGCCTCAGCCGCAGCTCTGGCCACGCCCTCTGACTCCTCTGTGATCAAGCCCTGGTGGGAAGGGTGAAACACATCAGAGGGCGTGGCCAGAGTGGCAGCTGAGTCCATTCCGTAGATCTGACTCCACGGGTGGTCAGAGTAGCGTCCTTTCTTGGGCTGTATTAATGCTACTGGAATAATTTGCAGACACCGCTCCCCCTTTTCATGCCGGTGAGATGATTCCTTTCTGGTTTCCTCCTTGGAGCGGTGCCAGTATCTCTCACACACTAGCTCACTAAAATGATCATTTGTCACAACTGTGATAAAGATTGAGTTTGTTGAATTCAACTGGATTTTTGACCTGGACCAATTTTTTTTCAATGAAAAGCATTTTTTTTGCAAAAACCACCTATATAGTTCAATAGATTTCTAAGGGTACATTTATTTTATCCTAACAATCAGAGGTATATCCATAATGTGTGCAGAGCACATGGGCCCCAAGGGGGATGGGTCACACTGCACTTACTGCACACATTAGGTGTGCAATCTGCACTGGGTAGCACCACAGGGTGCTCCAGTGTGATATATGGGGTGGCAGCAGTGTGCCAGTTACTGGCATACGCTCTACATTCCAGCACCTGGCACTTCAAGAAGCTTCTGTCCAGGGTCCAAGTGGGCACATGCAGCTCTGTCCTGCAAGACATCCTATTGGTTCACAACTGAATCACCAGAGCTGCTGCAGTCTTCCTTTGATACCTGGAAAAGACTCCAAGGCATACTGTCACTATATGAAGAGAGAGCTACACAGGATGGGTAATTTTTTTTGCAAAGTGCCCCATTAGATCGGAATATAAGGGACACCTTCCAGCTAGCCACCGACCACCAACACTGGGGGGGTGGGAGGATTATTTTTAGCACCAGCACCTGACCACCAATGCTTGGGAGAGGCTGTTTTTACAGCAAGACACTGGCCACCACTGCTGGGGAGAAGTTGTTTTTACAGCAAGACACTGTCCACCACTGCTGGGGAGGGATTATTTTTACAGCCAAAGACTGACCGCTAAGCATGTGACTGGCAGCAGGGTGCTCCTTGAGGAGCCTGGTACTATACATGAAACATAGAAACAATAGAGAAGATAGACTAGATGGAATGCAGAGGGAGTACAGTTGTGAGTCTAGGTGTTGTAGCTAAGAGCAATCTTTGCTACAAGAAGGTTGAGCACAGTTTTTATTGATAAGCTCCAGCAAAGATGAAGTCCCATAAGGTGGCAGGGATAGAGTTGAGTCGGCTCCTTATTTTTTGCAAATATTTTCAATGCCAAAACCCTGCACTAAAGCCTTCAAAGAGCTGATTTCTTAGTCCTCATGTAAGCTAGACGTTTTTACAGCTGCTGTTTTTGGCTTTTTGCTGTTTTTTTCTACAGCCAGTAAACTCCCTAGCATGTTATCCTATGTGTCCATGCACACATGGGCTTTAACCAGCATTTTTTGGCAGGGGCGTTGTTTGGCTGGAAAACTAGTGGGTTTCTAGAGGAATTTTTTGCTGTAAAAATGCTATAATGCTGAAAAACTTTGTAAAATGAGGCAACCTGGCTTTTTTGGGCTTTTTTTTTTTTAGCAAAAATTATTTATATATATATATATATATATATATATATATTTTTTTTATTTTTTTTGTAAAAACGCTAAACACAAACATGGAAAAACGTGGCTAAACTTTAATGCAAAAATGCTAAAAACTCACATTTTAACGTGACCTTACACAGCTAACGCTACCAGCATTATTAAAATTCCCAGTGTACAATGTCCCGGCCTTTTGTTTCTGTTGTCTTTGGGTTGGTAGAGATATTGCTCTGGATTCAACCACCTTCTAGACCAGTGTTTCTCAACCTTTTTTCAGGCAAGGCACCCTTTAAAATTATGGACAGTCTTGAGGTACCCCATTCTAATATGGGGTGCCTCTAGACTGTCCATAATTTTAAAAGGGCATCCCATTCTAGAATGTGAAAAACTATTCTAATAGTTTTATATAACACAGCAACATCCACACATGTAGGACACCCAACATTAGCGGTGAGTTATTCTTCCAAAGCAAATACACTTTTGCACACCGGTACTGAGTAGTATTCCAGTGTTTCTCTTCCCCATGAGTTTTTCTCCATCACTGAGCTAATGTGACCCCAGCACTGATGGAGAAGGGCGGGAGAGGGGCAAACTAGGATGCTGTGCAGGCAGCTGACATCCTCCTTATCAACAGGTGATGTCATTGGTTGTCAGGGCACCAGCGGCTAGAAGGTCATAATGGTGCACAATGAAAACCTGTGGCTTTGTGTAACTAAAATGCAGGCTTGTTCCACCCGCTGGCTTGTATACAAGATTTTGGCCAATTTAGACATTTTGCCAAGGCACCCCTGAAGAAACATCAAGGCACTCCACGGCGCCTGAGCACCCTTGTAGAGACAGGCTGTTCTAGAGTCTATAGGCAAATTCATTCCTATGTTTATCAATAGATTTTACACTGTTGTACCTAATGATGCAATGATTAAGTTTTTAATAATTGTATGCAAATATTGCTTTGATTTATCTGTGTCAACATTTTCTGCTATGATTAAAATAATGAATAAGCTGAGCATTGCATTATCAAAAACCCCATTTCCCAGCTGACCTGGGAAATATTTAACAAATGACCTGCCCCAAGTTAGGTGTTGTTCAAATGGTTATTTCTTTTGGTTAGCCATAGAACCCAATGAATGTTGCAAATACATACTGACCTTTGTGATGCCATGTAGTCAGCGAGTAGCATTCAATGGAAATTGTTTATTTACTGACACACAATTTTGCAATAAAAATTGATTCTTCTTCCACACAATTTTCTTGCAACAGAAACAAAAATACATGTCCAAATACATGGGATTTTCCAGGTGCCAAAGAAACTATACATACAGCATATAAAATAGCTGTATTTTATTTCATAAGTATTAAAAGATTAATAACCTTTTAAATGTTCACTTGGCACAAATACAACAGCAAAATTGCTGCAGCATATATTTTTGTGTGCAGAGAGGGCAGGAAAGGTCAGTGGCTGCCTATCGGGGACAAATACATTCCACGGCGATTTTACTGTTGTATATTTATGCCTACTGACAATGAGCTTGTAAATGGTAATCTTTTATTATATTTATGTAACAGTAAAATATGTATATTTTATATGCAGTATGTAGTAGTTTCTTAGGTTCCTGAAAAGTCTTATTTATTTGAATACATATTTCTGTTTCTGCAGTTACTCATAATAACCCATCATTTCGATCTAATTCCACCCAAATAGGCTAATTGTTTGGAACATCAAACTTAAAAGCACCTCAAATAATTTGGTGGCCTGTACATAGGCTCAGGTAAGCCAGAAGCTATAGAATTAAGATGGCAATGGACCTCAACTCCACAATCTGATCATTACATTTAAATTTTCAAACTGAACTCCAGACACAAATTGCATTCAAATATATTCTTCCAGAGTAGAAAAGGATATAAAACCTCTTTGTGTGCACCAAACTCTTCTGCCAACCCAGATATTACCTTGTAAAATAACAATGACGTCGTGACTGTGGTGTACATAGCCTGAGCAGAGCAGCGCAGAGGGAGGGACCCAGCAGGCTCCACTCAGTACAGGCTGCCTGCAGAAAACTACAGGGAGGCGGATACAAGACCAGTCACTCTGCGCAGACAGAGAGCAGCAAGGGACTGGTGTTCATAAAAGGAAGTTCTTGCACAAATGTACAGGAGTTGTTTAATGCTGGATTACTGCATAGATCCTAAAGAAAAACACAAAGGCAATCAAAATGTAAATCATGATACAAATGAATCTTTAATTCAATTTTAAAGTATAGTACATAAACATGCATGCCCATGTAAGGCAAGCATAAATATGCAATATATTGACAGCCCCAACCCTAGAACCACTCCAGCACAGCATTTTGTGGCAGGTAAAACTTTAACTGCACCAAGGTTTTTTTACAAGACAATCAGAGATATAGAGATTGTCACTCCATCCAGCTAAAATCATCTAGATTAGGTGTTTACCACCTAATGTCTATACAAACATTTAAAAGCAACTCAGCTAACTAGCTAAAAAAATTAAGCAAATTAACATTTCATCTGTTTGGAGATCAGAATGGCAATTCATTTTGCTGGTGTCTGTGGTAAACTAAGGCTGGCCATACATTATACATTATCTGCAGATTTTCTGCCCAATTTCCTTTAGATTTACCTTCAACTATGTAGTTCAAGGGCCTGCCTAATTGGATACAACTGAAAGTGTTGTTTAGGTTTGTCCTCCTATTATATGGTTTTTGGTAAATCTAAACCAAAAATCTGCAAATAATTGTATAATGTATGGCCAGCCTTACACTATATTGCCAAAAGTATTGGGACACCCCTCCAAACATTGGTTTCAGGTGTTCCAATCACCTCCATGGCCACAGGACAGGTGTATAAAATCAAGCACCTAGGCATGCAGACTGCTTCTACTAACATTTGTGAAAGAATGGGTCGCTCTCAGGAGCTCAGAGAATTCAAGTGTGGTACTGTGATAGGTTGCCACCTGTGCAATAAGTTCATCCATGAAATTTCCTTGCTACTAAATATTCCACGGTCAACTGTTAGTGGTATTTTAACAAAGTGAAAGCAACTGGGAACAACAGCAACTAAGCCACGAAGTGGTAGGCCACGTAAAATGACAAAGCGGGGTGAGCACATGCTGAAGCACGCAGTGTGCAGAAGTCGCCAATTGTCTGCAGAGTCAATAGCTAAAGACCTCCAAACTTCGTGTGGCCTTCAGATTAGCACACCAGTGCATAGAGAGCTTCATGGAATGGGTTTCCATGGCCAAGCAGCTTCATCCAAGCCTTACATCACCAAGTGCAATGCAATGCGTCGGATACAGTGATGTAAAGCACGCTGCCACTGGACTCTAGAGCATTGGAGACATGTTCTCTGGAGTGACAAATCATGATTCTCTGTCTGGCAATCTGATGGACATGTCTGGGTTTGGTTGTTGCCAGCAGAACGGTACTTCCCTGACTGCATTGTCCCAAGTGTAAAGTTTGGTGGAGGAGGCATTATGGCGTGGGGTTGTTTTTTTAGGGGTTGGGCTTTGGCCCTTTGTTCAAGAGAAGAGAACTCTTAAGGTGTCAACATACCAAGACGTTCCCAGGGAACAGTTTGGGGATGGCCTCTTCCTGCTCCAACATGATTGCGCACCAGGGCACAAAGCAAGGTCCATAAAGACATGGATGAGCGAGTTTGGGGTGGAAGAACTTGACTGGCCTGCACAGAGTCCTGACCTCAACCCAATAGAACGCCTTTGGCATTAACCACTTGCCTACCAGGCACTTATACCCCCTTATTTACCAGGCCAAATTGCGCGGTCATGCAACATTGTACCCATATGAAACTTTGATCATTTTTTTTTTCTCACAAATAGAGCTTTCTTTTGGTGGTATTTAATCGCCACTGGGCGCTTTACTTTTTGTGCTATAAATAAAAAAAGTGCAAAAAATTTGGAAGAAAAAAAAAAGTTTCTTTGTTTCTATTATAAAATTTTTCAAACAGGTAATTTTTCTCCTTCACTGATGTGCGTTGATGAGGCGGCACTGATGGGCACTGATAGGCAGCACTAAAGTGCACTGATAGGCAGCACTAATGAGGTGGCACGGATAGGCGGCACTAATATGCAGCACTGATAGGCGGCACTGATAGGTGACACTGATGGGGTACTGATAGACGGCACTGACTGGCATCACTGCTGGGCAATGACTGACGGCACTGACTGGCACAACTGGTGGGGCAACTGGTGGGGCTGCACTGGTGGGGCGGCACTGGGTGTGCACTGGTGGGTGGCACTGGTGGGTGGGCATAGGTAGGTGGCACTTCTGGGCACAGGTGTGTGACACTGCAGAGTGGCACAGGTGTGTGACACTGCTGGTGGCAACAGGTGGGTACACTGCTGGGCACAGGTGGGTACATCTGGGCACAGGTGGGCGGAGCTAGTTGGCGCACTGCTGGGCATAGGTGGGCGGAACTTGCGGGTGGCACTGCTGGGCACCGATCAAGGCACTGATCATCAGTGCCCTGATGATCGGTGCCGATCCCGGCTCTGACAACTGCCGGTTCTCGGCAGTACTTTCCTCACGATCTGACAGTGTGAGGAAAGTGCAGCCGAGAACCGGCACTTGCATTTCCCTCTGATCAGCGTGTCATTGGACACCGCTGATCACGTGGTAAAAGGCCGCTGTGATTGGCCTTTTACCACATCATGTGATCAGCTGTGTCCGTAGGACACAGCGATCACGGAGATCGTCGGGTGCGTGCCCCCTGGGGCGCGCAGGAGAGCGGTTCTGGCAGGACGTCATATGACGTCCACTCAGAACTGGCAGGCCGCAGTGCAGCCGTCATTCGGCTATCTGCGGTCGGCAACTAGTTAATTAGAGCGGAGACTGTGAGCCAGGCCTTCTCATCCGACATCAGTGCCTGGCCTCACAAATGCACTTCTGGAATAATGATCAAACATTCCCATAGACACTCCTAAACCTTGTGGACAGCCTTCCCAGATGAGTTAGCTGATATAGCTGCAACTCAATATTGAACCCTACAGACTAAGACTGGGATGCCATTAAAGTTCATGTGCGTGTAAGGCAGGTGTCCCAATACTTTTGGTAATATAGTGTATATTTCCCAGATCCCAGAATGACTGGAATGGGATCAGGCATTCCATAGCACCAGGTTACCAGAACACTTTACACAGCAGGGATGGTCAGTTTATTAAAGGTAGGTGAAAAACAAAAGCACTAGGAAGGTGAGCTGGGTTTATGGTATGAACATTTAAAGCTAAACTCTAGGCAGATATAAAAGGTACAAATAATATAGCTCTGTAGCCATTAATACATCAATAAGTTTATTTATTTACTGCAAACGTAATTACCAGAATTCAGCCTCTTGTAGTCCCAGTACAGTAGAGTTCAGGGAGGGACAAACTGCACAAGGAGCCAATTAGGTGGGTTGCAGTGCAAGAAGCATGCTGATAGGTGGAGAGAGCAGAGTGGCAGAGAGATGAGCTAATCATTGTTCTCTTTCTCTCAGATTTAGGGTGGAGGTGGGGAAGAGATCTGGAAGTGAACTTGCAGTAATGATCAGGTCCCCTATCCTGCCAGGCAGGACAGTGTGTGACTGAGCTGTGTAAATTAGATACATATATGAGAAATTAAAACATTTGTCATATATGTATCTCATTTATGTATATAGCTATTTGCCTGTAGTTCAGCTCTAAAGTGTATGTTAAGGCAAAACTTTTTTTATAGATTTAAATGGAGAAGGAAGGAGGGAGGTTCGAACCTCTTCTCTTTTTTTTTTATATTTTTTTTTTATTGTTGTCTTTGTCCCACTTCATCTCTCCTGATGATTATTGTCACCAGGACTGAAAGTGAAACTTTAAGGCTCTCAGCACAACAGATGGTAAATCTTCCATGGGGCAGCACAGTGGCTAAGTGGTTAGCACTTCAGCCTGGCAGTACTAGGGTTGCTGATTCAAATCCCAGTCACGGCACCACCTGCCTGGAGTTTGCATGTTCTCCCTGTGCCTGCGTGGGTTTCCTCCGGGTACTCCAGTTTCCCCCCACACTTCAAAGACAGCTGGTAGGTTAATTGGCTCCTGTCTAAATTGTCCCTAGTATGTGTATGTATGAATGTGAGTTGGGGACTATAGATTGTACACCCCTTGAGGGTCAGGGACTGATGTGAATGTACATTATATATGTAAAGTGCTACGTAAATTGACAGCACTATATAAGTACCTTGAATAAAATACATACATAGGACCCATTCTCATCTGCACGTATCTCCGCTTACGTTTTTTTTTTGTGCGTTTTTTTACACATTAATGAGCATCACGCATAAGAAGTGCCTGTACCTTTTTTGGAGCTGAGCATTGTTCGTTTTTGTTGCACGACAAAACACATGGCAAATGCGTGCCCATTACTCATGTTTGGGGTGGCATTAACATTTAATGGCAATGCAAGCGCAATGTGCATTTGCAGCGCTCTTCTGAACCGAGCGTCAAAGCGCGCTTTTTCTGTGCAGATGCCACGTGATCGGAAATGTGAAGATGTAAACGGCCTAAATAATTGGGCTATACTGGTTGATTACAGATTACCTTCATGGGTTACTGATTTACGTATTGTGTGCTGTCTGATGCTGAACACTGATTGTCCTTTTATCAAGGTTGCGGAATAACAATTCTGTTTAAAATATAAAACACTATAACTTATATGTGCTTTCCCCTCTGCTGTCCCTTTGTTTTTCCACATTGCAGATAATAAATAAAGAGCATGAATCCACCCACACATGGTGTGAATGACGCACTGCCTTAATGGAAAGTTTTACGTCTGTCGGGAAAGATCTGATGAACATTCATGTTTCATAGAGAGGCAGATTACAGTTTCCAGGTGACTGTTTAAAATGATGTAAAAACAAGCTGTGTACAAAATAGCCAAGAGTCACAGTATATATACATCATCACAATAAATTCAATGAGGATTAGATTAGAGTGGACCTTTACCCCCTAAATAAAAAAAAATACACGGTGCATTCAGCACAGCCATAAAAGCTGTAAATGTCATTTTTTCAGTCAAATAATTTTTGGGAAGCTTGCATTTCATTTTGCACTTCATGGTTCCCCTGAGACAAAGATGATGAACCCCTGCCTCATTGGTGCATCCTGGGAAGGCTACATCACCAGTGCCTTCCATGGAGATCTTGCCTGGTCTTGAATATGCGCCTTACATGACCTGGGCTGCTTGCTATTGAACAATACCAAGTCACAGTGGTGTATCTAGCATATCTGGTACCCAGGGGGATCATTGTAAAAAAAAAAAAAAAAAAAAAAACCCTTCCCCACAGAAAAAAAAATATGAAGCATCAAAGTGGTACATGTAATGCGCTAAGACAAATTTGGGGTTTGTGGCAAAATTGTGGGAGGGGCTTTAAGGGGCATAGTAAAATAAAACTGTGCCTACTCCCCCTACACACAAAATATGCTTTAAAGTGGAGTTCCACCCAAACGGGGAAGTTCTGCTTGACTGCCTCCTCCCCCCTCCACTGCCACATTTGGCACTTTGTGGGGGAGTGGATACCTGGTTTTCACAGGTACCCGCTCCCACTTCTGGCTCAGTTTGATGCAGTTCCCCCCCGCAGTCTTCTGGGACAGTTCACAGGACTCGTGCATGGGGGGCACCCAGCTGTGACAGTTTGCCCACAGTTGAGATGATGGCTCCAGGGAGAGAAGAGACACCGTAGGTGTGCACATCACTGGATCCTGGAACAGGTGAGGTGAGTGTGTGTTTATTATCCACTTCTCGCCCTGCCTATAGGAAAATGACGGCCAGGCAGGATTCTCGTCAAACCGGATGGGAGTCATATGATGTCCTTCCTGGACCGTCTGCATGCCCGCAGGGCCACCCTGCGGCGAGATCTGTCACAGGCTGTGTACCTCGGACACAGCTGATGATATATCTGTGTACCGGCCCATTTCCAGTACCATGTGACCTGCTGTGACCAATCACAGTAGGTCACATGACAGATGTAAACAATGGATGGTTTCCTTTCATGCCATCCATTGTGTCACTAGCTGTGACTGGTCACAGTGATCACATGCACAGACTGGGCCAATCATAGCCTTCCCCTCAGGCAGCTGACAGACCAGGAACAGGCAGGATCAGATTGGCTGTGACTGAATGGCAGCTG